GGAAGGCACTTCCGTTGTAGAAACTGTACAGATTCACTGAAAATGCTTATGAGTACTTGTAAAATTATTGCAAGGTGAAATGTTGGCATTGTAAACTAGCGTATGTAAACACTGGCTGAAAACATGGCCAAGTTCAGCAGATGCCAAAACCACAATGTCTCAGTAGTTCAGGGTTTGCCTAGTGGACACAAGACTGAAATGAGTGTAGGAACTTTGAAATAGTTATGAAACACAGCAGTGTTTCATAATGCTCTGTATAACCTCCTGTGATTCAGCATATCTGATCCTTATATTTTGCAGCCATTATAGGATAGACTGGGGACTGTTGTTCCAGTCAGATTCTTGTAATTTATCGAAGTCATGAGTCAAGTTTCGAAGAAAGTTCAACCTTTGTATCTGATTATTTTGTTGTTATGTGCTAAAGCCACCTTTTACCCTTAAAGTAATCTGCAGTATTGAATTAATTTAGGCAATGTATGGCATGCTATTTAGTTGTGAAAACATGATTAAACTAAGCTGGCAAACTGATTCCCTTTTGTCTAGGTGACATTGGAATAGCTGATTCACTTTTCTGTTCATTTCTGCAAGGCTGCTGTTGCCTTAGGCTGCCATTACACTGTGGGTGTTGCAGCTGCTGGTAGGGATGACTGCATGCCCCTCAATTCCAAATGAAAATGAAGGCTGACCCTTGAAAACTACATTCAGTCCCCCAGCTTCCAGCTTGCTTTAGCCTATGGCTATTGTGGTGGGAATGTAGGAAAGCAGTGACTGTGTCTGAAAGTTTATTATCACCTATGTCTTCTGTGGCAGCTCTGCCTGGTGGGAGCTGTCAAGTTTGACCTGTCATGTTCCTTAGGAGCTGTGAGGGTGGAAGATCCCAATGGGACCTGGGATTGTCACAGTCCAGCTGATTCTATGGGTTGGTTGGTTGGTACCAACTTTTGCTGGGGACTGACTGGTCCTTTTTACAGAGGCATCATATGGGCTGTCTAATAGTCAGGAAAAATCTGCACTCCTCTGTACTGACTGTGGGGCTTTTTACAGAACCTTCAACATTGCTGTTTCTTTGTACTGAGAATCCCTTACTATTTTCAGTTCTGCTATCCCATTTAATGCTTGTAGCCTTTTGGATGAGTTTGCAGCAGAACTTCCTGTATTATGGCTAAGGGTAGATCTGTAGCAATAGGTATGTGAAGAGAATATATCTGTAAGAGAATTTTCATAATTGTGAATATTTGTAAAACCAATATAAGTCAACTACTGGCTTTTTGAGAGGTTGCAAAACTATATAGGTGGCAATGGCCTCAAGAGTGGAATGCAAAATTAGCACCTTTCAGGGAATGAATTATAAAATTCCATCTGTGTGAAAAAAATCATGCTGATCACACTCAGTTAATTCTAAGGGAATGTTGCCTGATGAAGACTGCAAAGATCAGTCTCCTGTTTTCTAGTATTGCTTTCTCTTGCGTTTCCATTCCTGTGCACATTTATAATAATCTAAACATTTCAACCGAATATGGAAATGGGATTTTGATCCAAAAAAAAGAAAGAAAGGAGGGGGTCACCTGTCAGTAATGCCGAGTATGGCTGGTTTTTGGATTTCACCCTGATTTCAGCTTTGTTCTTGGCTGACAGGTGCCTGGAGGCCTTTCAGTCTGCTTTAGGAGACCTTGTTTTAAAAACAGTAGTGTTTTTTGCCTAATTATGAATGCAGATTTTGCATGTGTTTGAGATTTACAAGGCCTTGCTTATGTGAAACAGGCTATAAACTCTCCTTGGAAATGTATAGTAGTCTGGAGTAGATAATTACACTTTGAGAAAAGAGCCTCTCTTTCCAGTGAAAACACTGTAAAGTTATTTCAGAAATGCTCTGACCTCAGACATTTCATATAACTTACACAAAATGCTTTCACATTTGTTCGGCAGCTCGCGGCTTGATCCCTGCCATGTCATAAATGAAAGCACAGAAATCTCCCTGGGAAAAAAGCAGCAAGTCTATGCTGTGGCCTGCAAAACTCGTGTTATTTTACTCACTCTGTGCTTTGTGTCTGTACCCTTAAACAGAAGAAACCTTGCCCTCCTTTAAACAAATCTGTCTCCTAATCACACCCCACCCCCACGAACCCAACTTTCCCTCCAATTTTTCTTCCTCCCTGCCTCCACTGAGTGTACACACACTAATAAACTCTGCAGTAAAAATCTTGGGAGAATTTCTCAGCACAAATGGAAAGAAGATGTCAAAGGCTGAGGATAGGAATTTTCTCTTTAAAGTTGCAAAAACAATAGAGGACAATTGAAACAGTGGGAGGAAAGCCAGAGATGGGTGAACAAGCCATGAAAGTATTCCATTAATTTTTATTTTGATGAAACCCCACTGGTTCTCTTCACTTGCATCCATAATAGCCATTTTTATTTGCAGTTTGTTTGTTTTTCAAGACTCTTGTGGAAAGCAAAAGCATTGCAGATACAAGTGAAGAGATCTGTGAGAATGTTCACACCGTGCTTTTTTAGGCCTTTGAAAATCTGTTTTTAACTCCTGGTACAATAAAATTGTCAGATGTTTATGAAGACTTTTATGAAAGATTTGTGTGCTGGAAGGGTGACTTGATAGAGATGATGGTGTATGCCACTGAGGGAGAGAAAACACCAAGCAATAAAAAACAAAACAAATTCTGATTATGAGGTGCACAGGTCGTTTTCAGAAAATCCTGCACAGAAACAGGAGGGAAAAAAGAAAGGAAGTCTTATTAAAAAGCATGTTTGAGTATAGGTTGGACTGTTAGAGAAGTCTCAGCAGAGGAAAATAGGCAGGTTAGGGGAAGGGGCCACTTGTGCACTTGAGATGGCTGAACATATTGCCAGCAGTTGTACCAGGGAGACAGTGCAGTAGTCCTGCGGATCTGGTGGCTGAACCCCTCTCATATGAGCTCTAACTTGTTTCTGTTCCAGTGAGCCAGCTTAGTTCAAGCAACTGATGTGATCTCTCCTGTTGTAGTTTCTACCAACAGGCAGAGCTGTGGCAAGCAGCTTCAGAAAAGTTATTAGCCAAAACCCATCAGAAGCAGGGCCACTCTTGGGCATAAGAACAGCATTGAGCATCTAAATGAAGGCAGAAACAGCTCCCACAAGACAACATCTGCTTACAGTCTCAGTCGTGTCATGTTATCTGTAATTTCATGCCTAAGGCTTGAGAAATAGGATTGTGACTGTAGCAGATAGGGGTCATGCTATTTGCACTTTGCAGCCAAGATATTCAGAGCCAGTAATGGCTTGATAATTCAAGGAGGTAGAACAAGGAAGCACAAGCCCTTCTTCGCTTGTGCTTTGCATTCAATGTGGACAAGGCAGCAACAGCCTGCACTGGCTAATTTTAGTTCTTCCCATCTTGCAGTTACTGTGTTACTGATGGTTTGAGTTTACAAATTCACAAGCTCAGTGGCATGTATGTGTAAGTTTTAAAGCAGACCTGCTCTATTCTAATATCACATCACAGTACATGTCTGTGGAGACTATAGCTAAAAGTAGACAGTGCTGCACTTGGTATTCAGTATGTATTTATGTGAACATGTGAACTGGGAAGGACAACAGGGGTTATAGTGTGAAAATAATATATATATGGTGAGACCTTAAAGGTGCAGCCAGGTTGTATCTATTCATTAAATTATTTTGTTTAATTTGTTTTTAAAGAGGCCAAGTGCTTGCAGGGCAATGCAGAGTAGGCAGGGGTCATAGTTAATTGAGCAGATAGCTTCCACTCAGCTGGCAGTGAGCACTGTCCTTCCTGAAGGAGACACGGAGACATCAAGAGGCAGACTTGTTTCTCTGTCCTCTGCAGCAGACAGAAGAGATGGCAGGCCATGGAAGGAGAGGCATATGTTTTAATTCCTTGAAAGATTTAGCAGCAGATGCTCTTCTCTGGCATGCATCAGAAACCCTTAAAACTAAGCAGAAAATTGGCTACAACAGTAATTCTCAAAGGCTTGCCTCTGGTTGATCACATATTAAATACACAGCAGATTGACCTCCATTCCACTGCATTTATGTGAACCACATGAAATTTTACCAGTGTTGTTAGTGACAAACTTTTCTTGTTCTGCATACACCCTCACAAACACACACTGCCACACACTCTCTTTGTGTTATCACACTGAACCATGCTGGCTTGAATGCCTCTTTCTCTGTTTACACCTGCTTTCATATGTATCTCAGGTCCCTCTGTGTGTTGAAACACCTGCATATCTTTCAGAAAGCTGGAGGTAGCATCTGCACTGTGTAAGCAGTGTTTTGCAGACTGATAGCATTTTTATTCACAAGATACTCACCTGAAAAACTAGTGGTTTAGAAACCTGCTGCTAGCTTTCTGGAAAGTGCTCAATAAAAATGCAGTAGGAAAGGACCTCCTATTTGTAATTCTGTCACCTTACTGTTTGTTGGATGGTAAGTAACAAAAAGTAATACTACTGGAAAATCATGTTACACAAAGAGCTCATTTTGCCTAAACAGTCTGCTTGAGACTAAACATCAGTATTGCCAAAGAAAGGAATTAAAGCCCTACTTTTAGAATTTTGAATCCATTTTTCTTTGGCAATCTAAGACAAGGAGAGGGCCAAAATACAGGACAGATTTATATATATTTGAATTTATTAAGTGCGCTTGCAAAGAACTTTTACAGTCTAAGAAAACTTTTATTATCTGATAGAAGATAAACTGTTGTCCCCAAGTGAAATCCATAGATATTTTGCCATTTCAGGCAAAGTTTTGTTTGTCTATGTACACTGATTGAACACACAGGGTTAGCAAACTATTCAAGAAATAGTGTTCAGTTCCTATTATTGGTACAGTGAAGAAGCCATCTTTGGAATAGCACCGGCATTTGGAGTTAAAAATCGTAAGGAAATACTTTGTTGGGAAGAAATTGCAGATTGGCACAGACCTGTTTCTTGCTGGGTCCCAAGACTTCATCAGTATCCATAATTAATCTTTGCCTTTGTTTCTTTCAGGGCCCTCCTGGTCCAAAAGGCGAGAAGGTGAGTTGATGTTCGGGTGATTCTTACAAGGTGACTGGAAAGCCCTCCCAGCATGAACCCAAGAGACTGTTTGTATTGATGCAGTGAAATGTTAGATTATGTAAGAGAGTTGGGCAGCACACAGATGCTGTGTTAAACCTATCATCTCATCTTTCCACTTTGCAGGGAGATCAAGGTGATCAGGGCCCTCGGGTAAGCATCTTAAAAAAAAATGTTACACTTCCCCTTCGCTGAGTAGGCAATTAGTCTTTAGTGCAAAACTAAATTAAAAATACACTGTCTGAGCTAATTATGCTTATTAGCTGCATTTACGCTGCATGTTGAAATGTCTGCAGGACAGTAATACTGAACGTGAGCAGGAAGTGTCTGGGAAGATTTGGGTGATTTCATAGTGCACAGTTTCCTTTATGGGTGGAAGCAGGTTCCACAGTGATTCTGCTCTTGCTGTATAAAGCTGGCTTTCCTAACCAAACCATTCCGTTTCCCCAGCAATGTGTTCATGCCATGCATGGGCTTCCACAATGCAGAGGGCCAGTGGGTTTCTAATAAATGTACTTCTGGATTTCATGTTAAATGTAGCTAATATTTAATGGATTATAAACAACTATAATGTATGCATGTATTAGCTTTTTTCCTGACATATATGTATTAAATATTTTTAATAATAACATTATCACCTTGTAGTTACAATCCAGACAGTTAGAACATGGTTTAATTTAGGAAATGAGGAGGTTCTTTTAATTTCGAAATGTCATGTTTATTTTAAAAGAAATAGAGGAATACAGGAGTGTAAAATTGAATGGAATGGCTATGCTAGTTTACTTTTCTTTACATCTGTGCTTCATTAGAAAACGCTTGGTTACATTGTTCAGATGATATAGTAGCTCTCTTCGGTTACATGTTTATAATTTTTCCCATAACAGTATGTTCCATGGATTATTTTCTTCTGTTAACAATGTGAAATATTTTGAATTTGCAGCTTTGTTTCATTCTACTGTTTTGTTTTATATGCTTTGCTTTAATTGGATTTTACATTTTTTCAGCCAATAAGATTATCTAAAGTCACAACATGCTTTTACAGCTGATTTTGATGTTCTGTTAACTACCAGGGTGTCCTGTTATGCTTGGTGCTAGGGCTGCACATCATAAAGACAGTGGCCTGAGAGTGAACAGCTTTAAATATTATTTCAGTTGAAACACATTAAGAGTTAGAAAACTACTTAAATAAATAAAAGGAAGCAAAGAGTAACAACGAGAGCAACATGCTTTTTTCCAGTAACTAATGCACAAACTGAAGGTTCTGAATAATTTAAAATTTCCCTTTAACTTCTGAGCAAATTTAATGTCTCTCAGAGGCCATACTGGGCTATTTTGTCTGGTTCTGTGCTACAGAACTTCACGGGCAATGTGAGGAGAGAGATGCAGGGGTGGGGAGCAGTGCAGTGCCTGTGGCTTAGGAGAGGATGCTCCATTCAGGTGGCGTAAGACAGGCTCGAGTGTAAGTTCTTAGATGCAGAAGAATGTGTGTTCTTACATTCATGTTCTCAGCTGTGGCTTTAGATTCAAAAGAATGGGAGAGCAAATTTGATGGAAGTATCAGAGAGGGATGCAATAACAAATATGGAAGGGCAGTGTTGTGAAGAGCATTACATAGCTGAGGATAAGAATCTGGAATTATGACTGTCGGAGAAGTTTCCAGGGGAAAGACACAGAGGTCTGAACGCTGGAGAATAAATCAAGTGGTATCAACACAAAGGAATGATTATGCAGAAATCTTGGCAAAATGTTGAAGAGATGTGAGAACTATTAAATGATTAAGCATGTGTGACTTTCAGTCCCTGGTCTGGAAGTGTTGGCAATGCCCAGTAAGAAGATGCAGGTTTGGTCAGTGCTACTGCAATGAGACCTCTGATGTGCAGACATTGTTGTGTCCTGCTTTGCCAAGACATACTCCATCTACGGGAAGGCAGTAGAGTCCGTACTGAGACATAAAAATCATGGTTATGACTATTTGTGGGTTTGGTAAATCAAGTACAGATAAAAAGCAGAAAATATCCAACCTGGGGAATTCATATATAAGGACCAGAAAGTTGTTATCTGCAGCAGCAGCTGGTAGTTGAGACTGAATTCTGTATCTGATTACAGAAAAGGAATTCAGTAAGGGTAGCAGTGTAGAGGAATAGATGGTGACTAGCATCTTGTGGACAAGCTGAAATTTTACCAACTCTTTAGTCTATGCAGGTTGTAGTTACATACCTCCTTTTTAAGTAAACTTGGGAAATTTGCCCAGTGTTGTTCGTTTTCCCTTAATCTATTTGGAAAGTGTTCTACAGCCTCATCTCCTTTTTTCCCTTTTCCCCTCCATATTTCACAAGTGATAAGTACTCTGAAGCCTCTGACCATTTTATGTTTCATGGTACAGCAGTTATCTCTTCCGATAACTATCTTCAGGGTGAGTCTGCTCAATCTGCTGTGCCAGGGGATTTACAATATAATTAATAGAATTTTTATGTGTAAGCCACTCATGCACCAAATGAAACGAAACCCATTTAGTCCTGGTTGGTTACCTTTGCACATAGTTTTCCATCACTGCGTGTGTAAAATAAATGGATTTGGAGGTAAAGGCATACAACATTATTTTTGAGAAATATTGTACTTGAAAGTAACTGGGGCATGACATTAACACTTGGATTTGACAAGTTTGCAGATAGATTGGATATAATATCTAAGAGCAGTGAACATTTTAATGCTAATTCATCTTTTACAGGTAAGGAGCCTGAGGTTTCTTTGGGTTTATATTTTTACATACTGGTTTGAAACAAGCGTTTAACTTAGCAAAAACTGTTAGTGTTCCAAGCTATGAGTGAAATTTCAAAATTACCCTTTTTTCTTTAGAAAAGCTGCTTTATTTCCTCCAGGAATTTTTGTAAAAGAAATCAAAATAAAATATAAAGACTGTCCAAGTCAAAATGAGACCTTAGACTTAAAAAAATCTGCTGAAAAGAAAATAAAAGGTATTTGTGAAAACATTTTGCAAGAGGCAAATATATTGTTGTTTGCTGTCTCACCCAAGTTTTTTCACCTTGAGATTTTTGAGGGATCCTTCTTTCTGAAATAATTTCAAAACTGTAAAAATAGTAATCAGTTATCTCAAAATGTTTACAGTCAGTGGACATGTGGAATACATGCTGAACTACTTTGAAGTTCAGGTTTTCTTGAAAATACGTTCAATAAAGTCAATACACTAAGAACTCAGCCCTGCGAATACCATCCAGAGGTCAGGTGTTTATATTTTTAGAATAATGTGACTGGGGTTTTGTGTTGTTGTTCTTGGGTTTTTTTGTTGTTTTTTTTAAAGAATATGAGGAGCTTTCTTAAGTATTCAGAAGTAATCTGTGGATCAGTCTCCTTCATTGTGCAGAGGTGGCATAAGGGTTCTAGTTTATAATGCCATGGGGCTTGATCTACCAATGTCCATACTTTGAAGAAAATAAAAGCCAAAACACATTTTAGCAGTGTGAGTGATACAGAAATTCATACCCTGAGAGTGAGTTTGAGCAGCAAGTTAATATAGCTTTTAATCACATGAGACCGCCAATAAAGTAGTGATGGTAAGTCCTGATCTTACTTGGAAAAAAATATTTTTTTATCTCTTTATGTATTTATATATCAGGTCTCTAATTACTGTAAAGTTCTGGTTGACTAAGCATTTAGGTCAAATGCAGAACTAGGTTTCCTTGATACCAGTGTAAGAAATTGTAATGTTAGTATATCTTTTGGATGCTCTTCTTTTTGCAGAGGGCATGGCTTCATGAAATGTCCATGAAGATTTGCTTTACTGTACTGAGCCATGAGAAAATTAAAAATTATAGCGTTTAGCTTATGGACTGTTAGAATAAATGGTGATATCAGGCTGCTCAGTTTTAGTTATTAAGCTCTAGTCCAATTTTAAAAAAGCCTTTGAAAATTTAATAATGGTAGGATTTCAAAGGATATATTGTCCAAGTAGAGGTTGCATCTGGATAATGGAAATAGGTCTTCAGAGGTGAATGTTTGGGAACAGAACAGCTAGTACGGAATGTCTTACCAGATGTGGAGGGGAACTTTGTAATCAAGGATGAGGGAAAGGCCCTGGTGCTTAATGCCTTCTTTGCCTCAGTGTTCAACAGAAAGACTGGTTGTCCCAAGGGCAACCAGCCCCCTGATGTGGTAGACAGGGAAAGGGAGCTGAATAGACCCCCTGCAATCCAGAAGGAAGTGATTAGACTTGCTGTGCCACTTAGAAACTCACAACTCTCTGAGGCCAGATGGGGTTCACAGGGAGGGAGCTGGTGAAGAGCTTGCCAAGCACTCTCCATCATTTATCATCAGTCCTGGCTAACTTTGGGGGTCCCAGATGACTGGAGGTTGACCATGTGACACCCCCCTACAAGAATGGTTAGAGGAGGATGGAGAGAACTACAGGCCTGTCAGCCTGACCTCAGTGCCAGGAAAATTTGTGGAAGAGATCATCTTGAGTGTGATCATGCAGCATGTATGGGACATCCAGGGGATGAGACCCAGCCAACATGGATTCAGGAAAAGCAGGTCCTACTTGTTTAAGCTGATCTCATTTCATGACCAGGTGAGCTGCCTAGTGCTTGAGGGTCAGTTGAAAGTTGGACTTGATGATCTTGGAGGTATTTTCCAACTTTAGTGACTCTGATTCTTAGTCTTTTTTCAGCCTTCTGTAAATGACATAATAAATATCTTCTGGCCTTTAGTTCAGATACATGAGAGATTTCTTGCTTATCAGGGCTAGAAATTGTTAGCTAGAAGCTGGTTTTAAATTGGTTTTGTTCTAGGTGTAATGAGATACCACCAAGAAACCTTACTTAAGTAGTTTCATAAAATAATTTTCTACTTTTGGAATGTTTAAGTAAATTTTCCTGTTGGCTGAGGTGGCAAAGAACTGATATCTCCAAAATATCTTAAGCAGGAAAGATGAAGTTCTAGAAAAGACAGGAATTCAGAAGTTTATTTTATTTTGTTAACCTTTATTGACTTGAAGATTAAAAACATTCATTGAGTCCTGTCAAAACAGGTTTAGAGAGAGATATAATGTTCTTTTCTAGTTAACCCTTTCCCCTGTTTATTTTTAATATATTTACTACTTATTTGCTGCCTGGTAGAGAGAAATCATCTACTCGTCT